AGCCACTCTCGACCTGACTTATAAAGAAGGCAGGAAAGGGAGGTGTGACATGGCGTGAGAGCCGGGCCCCGGGCTCTCACTGGCTTCCCTGGATCAGCCAGGCTGCCCTGGGCCTGTTCTGGCCATCAGGCCCCTTAGGGCTGAGCGGAAGGGGAGGTGCTGGCGAGGTAGTGTCTGCTGGAGCGGGGACCACCAATGCCCTCCTCTCAGCCCCTGCCTGTCCACCCCCCTGCAGCTCCTGCTTCAATGGTGGCACCTGCGTGGACGGAATCAACTCGTTCACCTGCCTGTGTCCACCTGGCTTCACGGGCAGCTATTGCCAGCACGATGTCAACGAGTGTGACTCACAACCCTGCCTGCATGGCGGCACCTGTCAGGACGGCTGCGGCTCCTACAGGTGCACCTGCCCCCAGGGCTACACCGGCCCCAACTGCCAGGTGAGTGCGCCGGCCACAGAGGTGCCCGAGGGAGGGGCTCTGGGTGGGTGCCTGCCTGCAGGGGGCAGGAATGGTCACCCCCAGGTCCCACCGTGTCGGCTCAGGGTCACCCCTACACTCCTGGGCAGAGGGCTTCGGGGGTCTGAGCGGCCAGTGAAGGAATCTGATGCGGGAGCAGCAGGCATCTTCATTTCAGTCTGGGTTTCTGGAGCCAGGGCAGGAGCTCAGGAATTGGGGGGATTGAGGAAAGACGTTCCTTCTAGCAAAGGCCGAGGGTGGTCTGGACCTGCTGAGGGCCCTGAGGGAGGCCCAGCCCAGGCTGTTTTCCATGTGGGGGCGGTGGGGAGTCCAGGGACGGCAGTTTCCACTTCTGTAGAATGGGTTGAGGCCCGGGTTGGAGTAGGCCCCTTGGTGGATGTGCGTTCTGAGCTACTGGGGAAATGGCCGGGGGATGGGCACATGGCTGACCCCAGCCTGTCCCCAGAACCTCGTGCACTGGTGTGACTCCTCGCCCTGCAAGAATGGTGGCAAATGCTGGCAGACCCACACCCAGTACCGCTGCGAGTGCCCCAGTGGCTGGACTGGCCTTTACTGTGATGTGCCCAGCGTGTCCTGTGAGGTGGCTGCGCAGCGACAAGGTAACCCGCTGTGCCCACCCAGCTCGGGTCCCAGCCCGCCAAGGTCCTCCGTGGGCCTGGGCCTCACCTGTCCCCCACCTCAACCCCCACAGGCGTTGATGTTGCCCGGCTGTGCCAGCATGGAGGGCTCTGTGTGGATGCGGGCAACACGCACCACTGCCGTTGCCAGGCAGGCTACACGGGCAGCTACTGTGAGGACCTGGTGGACGAGTGCTCACCCAGCCCCTGCCAGAACGGGGCCACCTGCACAGACTACCTGGGCGGCTACTCCTGCAAGGTGGGGGCCCATCCTAGGGTGAGGGTTGTGGCCGACACGAGTGTTGCCACACACTGGGCCCTGACTGGGAGCTGGCACAGTGGAGAAAACTGAAGCTGATAGGCCCATGCACCGTTCAGTCTCATTAGGGGAGGGCTGGGGTAATCAGGGTAGACCACCTGGAAGAGGCGGCCTGTGGAGAGCCCGAAGGAGGGTGAATATTGCTGAGAAGTGGGATGGGGTTTTCCTTCCTCTAGATTGTGTCTGGGCTTGGCCAACACCTACCCTGAGACCCTCACCTCTATCCTACGGGACGGAGTCCACCCACCCCCAACAGGCAGTGACTCCGGTCACCGAGGCCCCGCCAGGGTCTGTTGGGCTGGGTCTCCCTCCAGGTCTGACAGGAGCGAGGGGCCTGTGGCTTCGCTGGACCTGAGGGCAGCTCACGTGGCCCTGTCAGCCCTCACGGTGGGGTGGGGGAACGCTGCATCCTGGCACCAACTGAGCCGCAGGGCCCCTCGTTCTGTTGCCTGCACAGTGCGTGGCCGGCTACCACGGGGTGAACTGCTCTGAGGAGATTGACGAGTGCCTGTCCCACCCCTGCCAGAACGGGGGCACCTGCCTTGACCTCCCCAACACCTACAAGTGCTCCTGCCCACGGGGCACACAGGGTAAGGGCCACCGCACGGAGGGCTGGTATCGGGCATCCATGGCCAGGGCAGGGGTAGGGCAGGCACCCCGTGATCGGCCCGAGGCATCCAGGAACCAGCCAGAAACTCCCAGTTTCCCACGTGAGGCCAAGGCCAACGCAGAGCTGCCCGGGGAAAGGGCCTAGAGTGGGGGGCCCAGTGGGAAGGGCGTCTCCACGGCACCCTCTGCACCTGGCTCACCCGAGCGTCCGTGCAGCCCCAGACCTGAGCGCTTGTTGTCTGGGACGGACACGCGGCACGGC